CCCCTCATCCAGATCATCAGTAAAGGTATTAAATAGAACTGGGCCCAACACTGATCCCTGAGGGACACCACTTGACCGGCCACCAACTGGATGCAGCACCGTTCACCACCACTCTCTGGGCCCGGCCATCCAGCCAGTTCTTAACCCAGCAGAGAGTGCCCCTGTCCAAGCTGCCAGCTTTTTCAGGAGTATGCTATGGGAGACGGTGTCAAAGGTTTTGCTGAAATCCAGATAGACCACATCATAGGATTCATGGCGCCCACCAGGAAGGTGTAATGTGTTCTGTGAAGTCACAGGCTGACTACAGAATTGTTAGAAGAGTAACTCGAAGATGTTACCATCTGTGAATTTACAGGTATGTTTTTAACCACCACCACTGTTGTCAAGAAAGTGAGCATAGGTGAGCTTCCTATGTGAAGAGGTCTGTAGATCTGTAGCGTATATCGATCGTCTCTAACAGAGAGGTCCTTATGGGTAAGCAGGTAGTGACAAGGCTATTTAAAAAAACAAACAAACAAAAAAACCTACCACCAAGCACATATTAACTGAAAGGATGCAGCCAAAATACACAAGGTTTTATGTTCAAGGATTGGACTTGATGATCTCAGAGGTCTTTTCCAACCTGGTTGATTCTATGATTCTATGCAGCTCATGCTAGATAATAAAATGTTTCTTAAAACTTACTGAAAGCTGAAGCTTTTTTGGGAAAAGAGTGGCAATAACATTCAGTGTCTGCAGAAGAGTTTGAGGTATTTTTTGTGTAGCTTTGGGTTGCAGGTTCAAGTAAGAGAGAACGGAAAATCTGAGGAGTCCTTCTCCAACTGTGGTAAATTGTGTTCTTCATCTCTTTTACAGGAATAGTGTTTTCAGTGGGAAGTAAATTATGGGCACAAGTAAAATTCAGGTCCAAGTCTCAAAATTTAGTGGCTATGCAGGATTATCTGACCAGTTCATAGTATATCTTTGTCTGAAAGCACTACATCTTGTAGATGAAAATGGTCCAAGTAATCTGCCCCATTCTGAGAAATCCGGGACATATTCAAGACCTAAAAAGTTAATTTTCCCTCTGTCACCTGTATGTAAATAACATTTCATTCCAGCCTCATTTGAGACTTAAGAAGACATGACACTTGGCTTCAAGCACTGTTCAAATGTCCCATTTGATGATACTTCTCAAGGTTGTACACATGCAGAATTTTATAGACCTTTTGCTCCACAAAAGGAGAATTTGATATTGCAACAAATGAAACATGAAAAATGAGCTCTGCCTCGTTCCATATGGTATATACTGGTCTTGCCTGAGACCCAGCATCAAGCACAGTCCATTCCTTTAGCTGAAGTGGCATTCCTGCTTGAAATTCAATACAGTGAGAAACTCAAAACCTAACAAGAAGTTGCTGACCTTCATTAAAAGTCATCATAAATTATGCAGTGATACAGTTTTCAGTTCAGTCTGACACATGCCACCAGAGCAGTTTAGTACTGGTTGTGGCCACCCCATAGCTGGTAAAAGTGAATGATGTTGTCTGACCTGTCCCAGTTCCCTTGTAAAGAAGGAAGTTTTCTTTTTGCTGTGCTAGGGATTAATGACTTTCTGATGCTACAGAAACAGCTGATGTTAAACTTCACTAGAGATACTTTGCTTTATTCCTACAGCAAGAATAGTGGTTCTAAATACCATCGAGGAGGTAGCTGGATTCTGCAGGATTTTTTTGTTTTGTTTTATTTTTTTTTTATTTTAAGGTGATGTCCAATTGAGTATAACTGCTAGTGAGCAGATTATCTTGAATTCACATAATCTAATAATCCCTGTATTTTTAAGAAGCATATATTCTGTACTTGAACTTTTTCTGGAAAATAAAGTTAATTAGTGTTTTTTCTTAAAAGCTCTTCAAATTAGCTCTCATTTCTCCAACCTGTAATAGCTTTCAGCAGTTTTACCTGTTAAAATTAGGACTTCATCTTCCTGGTATGGAATCCTGTTTAGAGTCAGAGTTGGAAACTAATGCTTGGCGTTGTTTTAAAAACAGAAACTTCAGTCATCAATGGGACATGGACTTCATTTTTTACCATGGTCTAGCCCTGTAATACTAAATCCAAGAATGGTCAGTGGTCCAACACTGAAGGTAGCCTGTATCACTTGTAATGTAATCCTGCTTCTGCCTGGTTCATGTTTGGAGGAAAAAGGTAGCATTTTTTGTGGTGAGATGGGCTTTTTGTTTTAGAGGAAGTGGTTGTCTTGAAGCTGTTCAGAGGTTAGGAATGCTGGCAGTCATCTGGGGGGGCAGGTTACTGGACTGAGCACAGGTGAGGAGGTCACAGGCATAGAACAACTACTTCTTGTGTTCCACTGCCTTGATGCTGCCCAGCCCAAGAAAGCTGATTCAGAAATGACCCGTGTGTCTTAGGAGGACCATCATACTTGTGTGACATTAGTACTTGATCATCACAGACTTGCATGTGAGAATTAACTCTCTGGATTGTTGTTAATTTAAGGGGAAGAAAACAGTGTTATCAACAAATATTCCCAGATGAACTATTTGGTAAAGCTTTAGCAAGTTTGCCTTAAAGTAATTAAGTATTAATATACTAACATAGAGAGGAAGGGAGATAACAGTTACCTGAGTGCTTTCAGGGGACAGATGACTAACCAGGGCATGTGCTCATTTTACCTACAATGCACTGAACTGTACTTGCCTACCTATTTTTCTGAATCTTTAAGGGATGCAGATTTTGGTTTAAGTTTGGTTTGCCAGTGCGGCAGGAGACGGTCTTAAACACATAGACCTGTAATGTGTATGTAATTTTAATTGCCATCTTAAACTGAAATTTTGGGGTAAAGGTTCTCTTGGACTCTAAGGCACAGCACTGCTGTTCTTACAGTGCTGTTTCAAGTGAGGAAGAACTTATATTCTAAATCTGAATCCCCAAGTTGTTTTATTAGGACTGTCACAGAAATTTATCCGTGAATTGTGAGGGTGAGCAGGGCACAGTGTTTGAGGCTGTAGTGATGAAAGACATCTCTTATGGATGCATACTTTACAAGGAAAAGGTATTTGTTGTGAACCTTCGGAATCATCCATCAGAACTAGGTGAATGTAGATGGTGATCTTCTTGATGAAAGAAAAGGAATAATACCTAGCTTTGGTTCCAGAAGTTGGCTTGTGCATTCAAAAGAGTAGACACTGCACTGACTGTTCACCAAGTGAACTTGAGAAGGTGCCCCCTCTACAAAGTCACTGTCTTGGCTGTGAATATGCTTCCAGAAACGAGTTGGGAGCTTCTCGCATTTGAGTGATTTTAAGGACTTCCAGTCCTGTGCCTTACCAACCTAAATAACACAGTAAGGCCTGTGTAATTGGTACAGCTCTGAACAGCCTGGGAGGAGAGAGAAGAGGCAAATGTGAAGTTAAACACAACAAATTTGTTCAAGGAGTATCTTTATTTCACGGGAACTTTTCCTTTGGCACCACCTTCTAGATGCCTTATATGTCCTCAGGGTTAGTATAGCCAATGTAGATAAGTTATAGGAGAATGCAGAAATAGTCTTTCTGAAGTCTTCAAAGGACTTTTTCTAGCCCAATAACTGTGTAGGATCATAGAATAAATTAGATTGGAAGGGACCTCTGGAGCCCAGCTAATCTAACACCCTGCTCCAAAGAGGCTCAGTTTGATCAGGTTGCTGCTTAGCACATTTTTTTGTGTCCTTTGATTAGTGTAACTTAATGTCATTTAACTGAAGTCTGTCAATAATATGCCTTGAAATTAGACTTGAAAATGAGACTTGCAAGACATAGAAATGCAATTATAAGCTTGTTTTTACTAACACCTTTTTTCCCCTAACCTATGCAAGGTTAATTTATTGGAGAAAAAAAATGCTTAGTGGCAGTTGTGTGAATGTACTTTTGGATTATACTGCTTATTTTCAACAGTAGAATAAACTGGAAGTCTGTTAGTTTATCTGAAAAGTGTTATCATGCTAAACTCCCCGTGAAATAATTTTCCAGCTAGTGCATGTTTCATGTTTAAACTATGCACAGTATTTTTAATGGGAAATGCAGTGACGCAATTTGTACACTAACAACTTCATGTCTTAAGTGTTTTTTATGCAAAGCACAACATGAGCTTCTTATATGGAATAACTTCTTTTACTTGGATAATTTAAAAGTGATTACTTTGCAATGCACTTGAAATAAGTGCTACAGAGACTAAAATATTTAAACATTTCCTTAAACTGCAGACCCTAGAAAGGCAGCTTTCCCGTGGATCTTCCTCTCAAGGGCAGGAGTCCATGTCTATTCTATGATGTTTAGCGTACGGACTAGGCAGCAGAGCAGTTTCTCCCTGCATCTCTTTCTGCCAGGCTGCTTGCTTACACAGAACCTTTTGTTATCTGGCACTTTTAGCACTTTTTATTGCTGTCAAGTTCAGCTGAAATGAAGTAAAATATTCCAAAGAGAAAAGTGATGTACCAAGAGATGCATATTAACTAACAAAGGCTAGGCAAAAAACGTATCCAACTACTCTCTTACACTCTGCTATCATGTTTGTACCTAAGGCCTGCTATCAGTTAAGGCTATGTGTTGAGTATTAAAATGCACCCTAATTCAGACTTTCAGGTTAGGAATACGCTCCTTGGCCACTTGAGATGTATGTGTAAAATTAGAATCCAACTCTGAAAATACAGTCTCATGTCTAAGATGGTATATCAGGCCTGCAGCAAGTAATTGCATACTACATAGCTGAAATAGGAGTTCAGAAAAAGAAGGGGTTTTTCCCCAAAACAGGGAAGTGTGGGTAGTAATTATAAACAACTCATTCATTCTGAATGTTGTGCTGATGGACATAAAGTGAAACAAAGGTTAGAATAAGTGGGAGAATTAGTTTTTTTTCCATATTATTAAGAGTGTGCCTTCACTGAACAAAATTTAAGTGTAAAATGCCCTGCAGATTGAATTATTCTGTTTGATTGATATACATTGGTACTGCTTCTCTTTCAGATGAAGTAGACTACAGCAATTTTGGGACCAACACGCTATCAAGGAAGAAGAAGGCTCTGGTGACACTCCGCAATGACAACCTCCGACGGCGTCCTCACATTAACATTAGCATGCCTCATGATTTTAGACCAGTGTCTTCCATAATTGATGTGGACATTCTTCCTGAAACACACAGGAGAGTGAGGCTGTATCGACACGGGTGTGAGAAACCCTTAGGATTTTACATTCGCGATGGCACCAGCGTAAGAGTTACTCCTCATGGACTGGAAAAAGTACCCGGTATCTTCATCTCTCGTATGGTTCCTGGTGGCTTAGCAGAGAGCACAGGCTTGCTGGCTGTGAATGATGAAGTCCTGGAAGTTAATGGCATTGAAGTAGCAGGAAAGACTCTTGACCAAGTCACAGACATGATGATTGCCAACAGCCATAATCTTATTATCACAGTCAAGCCAGCAAACCAGAGGAACAATATTATTCGGAGCAGTAGGATGTCTGGTAGCTCTGGCCAGTCTACAGACAGCACTGCGAGTCACCACAGCTTGCCTACATCCCATGTGCTGCAGAACTTCCACCCTGATGAAATGGAGAGTGATGAAGAGGCTGACATTGTCATTGAGGGTGGTCTGGAGCCACAGCACATTCCTAAACTGCACAGCCTTACTTCCAGTAGCCTCTCTCGAATCAATGGCAGCAGCCTTAGCCACAGACTTCAAAGGGACCTGGTGCTCAACAACAACTCTGGCCGAGAAAGCAATGGCAACATCCACAAATTACTCAGTTCCTTAAAAACTGATCCCCGACACAGTCTGGTTATCCCCAGAGGAGGTATCGAGGAGGATGGAACAGTCATTACGCTTTAGTAGCAACTTCTGCAATTCTCCTTACAGTCTTAAGTGCCAATTGGGACAATTAACTCGTGCAACATGTTATGCACAAAACAGGGAGCTGATATTCTCATAGACCTCACGGGTGCAGAAAATTGTTGCTTTCTAGGAAACGTGGCATCTGGAGTTAGACATAAAGCTGTCATGCACTGCAAAATTTGTCAGGAGAAAGCCAGAGTGCAAAATCTGGTTCATATCCCAGCCCTGAAGTGAGAACACAAATTTGTTTTAGTTGTTATAAATCTAAGCAGTCTTACAGGCTACCCATAGCAATGCTACATACTTGGGTTTGAATACATGGGTGGATGTATTAATACGTGCATGTATACGAATTAGATTTTAATAGTAACAGACATGTCTATTTGAAGTGGAACCTGGTTTTCTTCTAATACTGGCTTAAAGGGGGCGCTTCTTAACAGCCATCCCATCTTCTACTGTTACACACAGCCCTTCTGCTAACTTGTTTACACCATATTTTCAGCCTTATGTCTAATCCAGACGAGCTCTACATAAAAGTAGCTGTTTCCTACTCTGGTGGTAACAACGTTTGGGAGATGCTGCAAGTACATTTTCCAAAGGAAACTGTAGATTCTATATATATAAAAATAAGTGGTTTTAGAGGCCCGAGGCGGCCGTGTGTAGGATGTAGCCGTGACTGCTGGGGCACGGTCGCCACCTGCGGGCCAGCGCTGGGAACGCGGGGAGGCACCGACACGGCGGGGTCAGCGCCGCTGTGTGGTGGTGTATTCTTTTCCGATATTTATTAGATAATACCTCTTGGTTTTTTCCCCATCATCTCTCTCTTTTTTTTTTTTTTTTTTTCAAAATCATGGTTCACGTGAATTTTTAAAGATGCAAGCAAGAAAGCAGCAGAAGTGGAAGAGTGTGCTAGGACTGTCCCCTTCACCTCAGAGCTGACACAATCCCTTGTACCTTTGGGGCCACCTAAATCCACAAGGTCTTTCCTTACAAAAGGTTGGCTGATTGCCGTGCAGAGCTGGAGGGGGATGCTGACTGACTGTCAAACCTAACTGTTATTTTTGGACTCTTCTAGTAATAAAGCTTAACATCTACACAGGATTTCTAGAAACTTAAAATATAGTGGATGTTTGCGATGGTCAGACACCTTTACTGGGTGCTGGCTGTTGGGTGACCAGTGACTGTTGAGTCACAACCTGTCTGCTTCTGAAAATGCCATGAGTCTAAGAAAGCGATTTAATCCAAAATATTTTGTTATATCTCAATCAGTGTAAGAAACAAAATATAAATGTTTTACGATGTATTTTTCTATTTTTAGCTTGTGTCATTTGCTCTTTGTTTTTAACTTTGTAGTACATTAAAGCTTTTTTTATATGGTGGAATAGACATTTCTTAAATATTGTATGGATATGAAAATTCAGAAGTCTTGGTTTGAAGAAATTACATTCCATTTTGGAATCTGTAATGGCTGGAAAAAGGATGTGCGGACTAATTCATTGTTGCTAATTTAGAATACCTGTGGAACAACCAGTCTTCTGCTCATTGTTAAATATCCTTGGGACATTGAACTTAGTTTATTTCTTTTAGATTTGCTTTAAAAGTTTATTTTAAAATTCTTTCACTTACTCTAATTAAATTTTTTCTAGGTATCACAGCAGCTATAGAGCTGTACTTATTTTTACTGGCACAGTAAGAATAGATCATTGATCCTGTTCGTCTTAAAACTGTGTTTGTACTTTACCAAAGGTTTTCATTTTTTAAAAAAATCTGATTATTGGTGCAGTAAAAAAAAAAGAATAGCTGGATATGCTTCAGTCAATCTGACCATCTTATCAGGAAAATTTTGTTACACCTTAAATAAGACTACTTTTATGAATAAGTGATTTGTCTGGCTGAAGTTACTCGTTTTTCCTTATTTAACTGATGACAATGTGACCTATCTGCAATAAAATGTGCACTGTCTTACTTCTAAGCTATATTCTTTCCCTGTGCTCAAGCATTTATGTGGAAGTATATCCCATCCCTGTGAAAACAAGGTATCTGGGTTGGATGGTTCTTCAACTATGTAACCATTTTAGTAATGATTTTCTATGTATTAGTACAGACTTTGATCCCGCTGCTTGATCTCAGTGATACTGAGTTTCTTTCCATAATGTTTTTTTTCCCGAGTACTGCTTTTACTAAAGAGTACTGCTACACTGATTTCCTTGGGAACCCACTCATAGCAGTTTTCCCAGTACTGCTTTTACTAAAGGGTACTATTACACTAATTTCCTTGGGAACCCTCTCATAGCAGGGCTGGCTGCAAACCTCAGGGCTTTGAGGGTTAATTCTGACTCCTCAGAAAAAGCCTAGGATACCTCTGGCTTAGTGATCTGCTGCTGCACTGCACTCCTTTGCCTGGAGCCTTCTGGATGTCACTGTCCAAAGAAACCGTGCAGTACAATCTATCCAAACTCTTCCACCTCATTCATTGCATGGGATAGGAAGCATAACTTGTGTTTCACACGCATGTACCCAAGATGAATTACAAACTGAGAACACCCAAGTATTGATGTGTCGGCTTTAGAGCCAGCACTTTATGAAGTAGCTTTTAAGGCTTGCAGACATTTTGTGCAACGTTTTGGGGTGAGGAGGGGTGGGGGGTGGCAAAAGCAGCTTCTCTTTTGAATGCCCCATACTGATGCCTGAATCTGTGTTATACCAATTATCCTCTCACAGTGAGCTCCCTTCCCACCTCAGGCCGTTATCAGAGCAATCTGCATGGAAACGCGTCTGACTTGTTCGGGCTTCACAGACCGGGACCCCTTCGGCTATGAGATTAAATTGCCCAACTGGGCTGTAAAGGTGGGCGGCTGAGGGAACAGAGGCGCGCCAGCCCTCCTTAAAGGGCAAATCCTCCATAAGCGCTCCCGGAGAGGGAGCCACGTTTCTGTCCCAACGCTTCCGAGAGGCGGCGGGGGCAGCAGGGCCTGAGCTTCCAACAGCCAGGCGCGACTCCGTGCCCGGACACTGGCGATCCGTGAACTCAGTCCCGGAGCGGCCGCTTCCCGTGTCCCGGGGCGCGGGGGCCGGGGTTGGGAAGGCGGCTCCGCCCGCCGGGAGCGCGGCTGCGCCGGCCCGCCCCGGTCATGTGAGCGGCGGCGACGGCCCATCCCGGCGGGAGCGGGGGGCGGGATGGCGGCGGCCGCGGCCGGAGCGGGCGACGGGGTTGGAGCCGACCTACTGGGCGCCTGCCCCGGCGCGGACAGCGGGAACGTGTCCCAAAGCCACAGCAGCGCCTCCGGCCTCGGGGAGCCGGAGGACGAGGACGCCTCGGAGGCGTCGCTGAGCGCCACCGCCGCCGCCTACTCCGCGTACCTCCTCGCCGACCGCAGCCTCTTCAGCGAGCAGGTGGGCGAGGGGCCGGGCCGCCTCGGGGGGGTCCTGCCGAGCTCCCTGGGGACAGGGAGCAGTGGCGGGCCCGGCGCCGGGAAGGGAGGGGGTATCCTGGGAGCGCAGCCCTCTGGAGCTGGGCGCGCTCCCGCTGTGGTGCTGTGCAGGACAGGACGTACCGGTGTGTCGAGTCCCTTGTGCTCAACAAAGACAAGGAGGGGAAAGCTGCGGGATTTCTGTGAGACTCGTTTTAATGTGGACGATGTCTGTACTCGGTAGTGTTATTTCTGAGAATCCGGTTTTCGTGTTTTCAAGTACCTTTAAAGGATTTCTGTTTTGCAGATAGAAAGCTTAGACAAGAGTCTAGAAGACTTACTGACCAGAGTGGATGAATTCGTGGGAATGCTGGACATGGTATGTGTAACTTGCATGTAGTTGCGTTTTTAATTAGTGCTTGTGTAAATAAGACATGGAGAGGAAGAAGCCTTCTGTCTAGGTAGGTTCAGTATGAAAACACATTTGGTAATTAGACAGCTTGTGGATAAAACTGCCAAATTTCATGTCAGAGCAAAATACGGCCATATAGCTTTGTGGTCATACAAATCATATAATTGTTTAGGTTGGAAAAGATCTCTAAGATAGAGGCCAACTGCTGACCTAGCACTGCCAAGTCCACCATTAAACCATGCCCCTAAGCATCACATCTACACATCTTTTAAATACCTCCAGAGATGATGACTCCACCAACCAGTTCCCTGGGCAGCCTGTTCCGGTGCTTGACAGTCCTTTCAGCGAAGAATTTTTTCCTAGCTGCATATTTACATAGCTTTATTTGTATACTTATCCATGTACCTACAGAGAATCCCATTTTGAATGGTGAAATGACACGTTTGAAAGAACAATATGATATTCTGCTTCTCCTTTAAAATACGTAAAGGTATGCTCCCTGGGTTTTATAATCAAAGTATCTAATCCGAGTTGCCAAACCTCCAAAGCTAGAGGGGGGACCCTCTTATCAGAAAGGCAGCTTTGTTTTCACTTTTGCATTGGGTTAGATGGGGGAACTGAATGTAAAGTTCCTATAAGCTGACACTGGTATACAGGCTGTCTTTTAAAGCGTAGCACATGTAGTTCTGTACAACTCTAAGGGGAACTTCATCCTAGGATTTTTTTATTTTAATAGCAGTAAACCAAAACTTTGTGTCCTGACTTTTTTAACAAACCTGAGGAAAAGTACGGGTAGTAGAATTTAAGTAAAAATTTTAGTTTAATGTGTCTAGTTCTTTAGTATGTCTTGGAAAATGTTCCGTCTCAGTTCCAAGGAGATGTGGTAGCCTACTTTTAATATAATTATAAAGGTAAATATTAGCCTATGCAAAATAAATGTTCTTCAAAATTACTTCGAAATTATACAAAAAAGCTAGTGTTTTGGTTTTAATCTAGTATTTCTGTACTAATTTTAATCTGGTGGTTTTAAACTCTGAATTTTAATCTGTTGATTGGAGCACAGTTCTAGTTTCCAGAATGAAATCTATTAAACACTTTGTTTTATTCATTGATTTTTGTGTTATTTCTTTGAATTGTCTTTAGATTCGAAGTGATTCCTCTCAAGTTGTCAATGAAAGTATACCTCAAATTTACACAAAAGCAATAGAAATGAGGCAGATATATAGGAAGATTGACAAACTAGAGGTAGGTATTTGATATCTCTAGATGCATTCTGTTTCCTAACAGAAGGGGGGGAGAATCAACGATGTACCCATGTCTCTGTGTGTTCATGCATGCATGTGGAGTGGGCTCAGTTTTGTTCTCCATGTCCAATCTGGGTTCAATACTTCAGGGTTAATAACAAGAACACAATTTATTAATAATTTCTGAACACTGTAAGCATTCTGAACAGTTTTGGATCTTTTTTTAACATCTTTTTTTAAAACATCTATTTAAAGAAAAAAGGATTTTTGTTTATTGACTGCTCAAAGCAAGGCAGTTTTTATAGTCTTTCAAAGTTACTGTCCTCAGAGACAGATAGAATGAGAGGTCTGTTGATTTCTGATAAAGCTTCAAAATTGTGATACAGATCCTTGGTCTGTCTTTTAGTAGTAGTAAGTCTAGATTCTAAGAAGTCCAAATGAGTTACTTGACAGGTAAATAGAAAGACTGATTGTTTTATTAGATTTTGTTCAGCTTTTTAAGTGTCTCAAGTAATTTTTAGCAATAAAATGGACTTGTAGGTGGAAGGGAGCATGAAGTTCTTGACTCCTCATTTAAGTAATGGATCGTTCACCACTGTTGTGCGATACATAATCCTATTTTGTTAGTGAAAAAGTCATATTTCTGTTGGTTTGCTTTCACACTAGGCTTTTGTGAAAATGATTGGAAATAGCGTAGCTGGACTGGAAGAACGGGTCATAAAGGCAGAAACAGACCTTGGAGCTTTTCCAAGCACATTCAAGAAAATCTTGCACACAATCAGCATACCATCCTTCCTTAATGTAAGTAAACTTTAGTTACCACATGACCAGCTTAGTTGCTCTACTGACTAAAGTAGATTATTAAATTAATAGTAAGTTTGTTACATATGCATCTGAATTTAACTTTTATACACTTCATTAGGATTTTTACAAAGTTTTCAGGCTTAATTAAAAAAAAAACAAAACCACAGCCAAACTTAAAAATCACAATTCCTTACAAGGATTTGTGTAACTTAGCAAAACAAGTCTGAGACACAGAGAAATGAACGTGAAGGGCACAAACAAGCACATAATGCCCAAGCCTTTGTACTGAAGCACCCCTGATCTCTGATGATATGCAAAGCAAGTAGGAAGAGCCTGTACAGGCAAGACTGTTAAAGGATAGTTAGTTAATTTCTCATCTCATTCCTTCATTTTCCTTGATGTTTAAGTTTAGAGTGCTGTCATTTTTTTCTTTTCAAAAACCAACACAAAGCTGCTATTTATAGGCCAGTTACAAAAACAAACAACTACATAAGTGGCCTTCAAGAATATTCAACAGTATTTTCCATTTGTTTTTTTTTTTCCTAAAAACAGTTATCAACCAAGGAAATATAATCTTCAATTGAAAAGTTTGGTAGTTCTAAGAAAGTGCCTTCTTTTTCAGTGTTGCATGGGAACACTTCATCAGCTTAGTTGTTTTTTCACAATCAATAATGAGAAAACTCTTAAGAAGTGTCAGCAAGCTGAACCTGTCATGTCCAGTGGTTTCTTAGTTTGAGTATGGATAGCAGTAAAAGAACACTCAGAACTTACTGGCATTAATTGATTAGCTAAAAGGCAGGTTACTGTTCTGCAGTGCTACTGGATATTGCATAGTAAAATACCTACTTTCACTAGTAAACACAGGAATATCTGAATGAAAATGCCTGTAGAGATTTCTCCTCATGGTTTGGAAAAGAAGGCTTTTCTCATGTCATGATTTTCATTGTAGCTGTAGTTTGTATTTTCCAGGTGCAGTTTTAATTTAGTCAAGGTCCTCCCCCTTTCCCTTTAAATGTATCTGTTCCTTTATAAAAAGGATATATTTTGTATTTCTCAAGCTCTGTATTTCTAATCTTACTTTCAGATTTTGCCCGAAGTTCTTCCCTTGTGAATACCAGTCAGTGTAAAGTACAGTACTGTAAGACTTCTGGTATCACTAAGGATGTAGACTCTGAAAAGATAAAAAAGTTTGCTAAGCAGCTGCAAAAATAACTAATCGTAAATGTGTGCTTAGGCAACTGTGGGTACTGTGCCTGTCTATGAATTTCCTCACTGAATTGAAATTATCCCCTTCTTGCACATAGGCAAATATAACACCTCTTAAATCAGTGGATTGCAGAAGACCTGTGCCCTTAAGTTTCCCTTTCTTGCAAGGTGTTTTCTCATAGGACAGTACAGGATAGGAGATGATTCTAAAAATCAGAACTTTGATTTCAGAGGTTGCTTTTACATTTGGAAAAATTTGTGGTGTTGAGAACACTGATTATATCTACTATTTATAGATCAGATCTTTGTTTATATTTTTTAATTTCATCACAACTTGAATGCCAAAACAAACTTAGAGAAATTAATATTATTGTAAAGTTAACAACATATAATTTAATAAATTAGCAATTTTGTATATAACAGGAGTTTATGTACTTATTTCATATGGAGTACAAGTATACAGTTCAACTGAATATTCCACTTTGCTGTTTTGTAGGTATGCTTACTTATATCATCATCTTGGTATTGCAAAAGCATTCCAAACTCCAAGTATACTAATAATATTTGGTATGCTTTTAACTTTATTGTTGGTGAAGTATAGCAGCTCTTTTCCAGTCCACTACCAGATTATTTTTAGCTGCATGTCATATGAAGAAGCTCAACAGGAGCAGCAGCCTTCTTGACAGCAACATCTACTAGGTGTATTTCTATATGAAGACTTTTTTAACTAACTAAATGAGAACCTAGGCCTAGGGTTAACTCAAAAGAAGCGGCTGCGGAGAACTCGAAGGTTGGAGCAGAAAAGGTAAAGGTATTTGGCTTTGAGAAGATGAAGATTTCAACAGCTATACCATCAGCTGAATGGTACAGTTTGGCTCCTGCAACACTGGCATATCATACACCTTCCAGGACTGAGTCTGTTTAGGTGCTGGAATGGCAAGCATTAAAACCTGCATTTCTTCAATAACATTAGGAATATGCCAGACTCATCTGAGCTATGGTTAAGAATTCACTTGATTAAGGAGATACACCTTAAGAACTTCTGTTGTTTTGCATTTTAGCTCTGTAGGCTTTGTTTTAAAATACTTTTTTAAAAAGGCAAAAAATAAACCTGTCTGATTTTCAGAAATCGTCTTCCTCGCGACAACAACAGGCGCTCTATGAACCTCCAGTCCTCTTCAAGACTGAAGACTATTTTCCATGTCTTAATGAAGCACCTTATTGATGATTTTTGCTTTGGGATTGATATGAATCAGCCAGAATAGAGACAGCCAAGTGAACAAAAGAAATGCTAACCTCAAAACAGCGGCATTTCTGGGCACTGTTGATGACATATTGCCATTCTGGTTCTCATTGTCTTCCTTCAGACAGTATTTTCAGGTAATCTTTGTTTGTGTTCATTATTTCAAAAATCTTCCTAAAACACCATATAAATTTTCAGATTATTTTGGGGAGAGAATTTAAGAATACTTTGCCATTAATTTTTTTTAATAGGAAAATAATAGGAAACGTACTTTTATATATAAATTCTTTAACACGTAAATGTTTGTGCTGCTGCAAGTGTAAATAGCTATACCACAAGGATGGTTGTTATTTTGGGTTTTTTTCTTAATGTAATGATGGAGGTGAAAGAAAAACTATGCATAAAACCATCTACTCCAAGGTTTGAGGCCTGGTCCCTGCAGTTTGTACAGAGAAATGTACCACATTGGGGTATACTAGTTGCAAGGGGAGGAAGGGGAAGCTCATCAGGGACATGACTGGATCATAGAATCGTAGGATCAGCTGGGTTGGAAAGGACCTCAGAGGTCATTAAGTCCAACTCTTGATCCGCATGACCTAGTCCCAGTTCACAAAGCAAACATCCTGCTCCCACTGACAATCCTCAGATCACAGTGACCAAGCCTCTAATTAGTGCATCATTGTATTGTTCGATGTGTAGCCAGGTGGACATGAGGTAGATACATCTATATCTATAGATACATATAAAACAAACATACTGAAAACTTGAGGCAGGGATGTGCCTGACTGAGCCTTAGTCAGGCACCTCACCAGACTGTTTTCTTTTCCCTCACAACTCTCCATGTGGTTACTGGGACTTGCTGATTGCAATTTATATTGTCAATAAACTAATAGCTATCTAAACCCTGTTGTGGTCTTGCATTTCACCGGACAGTATTGGACGGCCCTTTCTTTCTGAGGACCTTTTTGCATACAGCCTCATATAATACCTAGCAGGTGTTAATCATAAATTCTCACTAGAAATACCCAAAATTCAGATTTTGGAGGAATAAGGAATGCTTTAGGGAAACAGTATGTCTGCACAGAAAAGGGTATGGATTATATATTAATAGATAAGGCTTTGAAAAGCTTATGTTCTTGTCTCCAAACAGCAGAAGGGACTGAGTTGTAAGCAGTATCTGAAACAACATTGAGTAAAAATGAAAACAAAGATCATGAAGTCAGAATTAGTAGTCTCCAAAAGCAGTCCTGATGTAAAACTTATCTGAATTTTAACATAAAGAGTCTAGAAAAATAATTGTATGTAAACATGCAGAAAGGAACAGACATGACATTGAAGACGGGCTCCTCTTCCACCTCCCATACTCCTCACTTTCATAAATAATTCACTATTCAGATGTTTCACTGCAGCAACAATTGCATTTCTGAAAGGTATGGTACCTTTCAGTTTATGCATGAATAATGCTTGAAGGTTTATCCCTCAGTGAGATCTAATGAAATTACATACCTCTAACTCAGTGTAGCAACAGAAAGCTACAGTCAAATACTCTCAAGTGCACTAATGCTGGCATGGAAAAAAAAAAAAAGATAACTTTAGAACAGCTTTCTAATTAAATGAATCAACTGCTCAAATAAAAGCTTTGTCCTCTGCTAAGGTGAGCCAAAATGGAGTTGCATTTAAACAGATAATATTTTAAATAATAAAGTTTTCAGTAAGTTTATACAGCTGAGTATTTGTCTTACAGTATTGTTCATGTTAATGAGAGAAAAAAATCATACATTCTGAAGTGGGAGTTTATGTTAAACAGCTGTATGAAAAAAAAAAAGGGCTGTATCTTCAAAGCACACCACAAACAAAAATCACGCAGTTCCTGTAGTTAGTATAGTTCTGTGTGGAAATGGTCCAAAATATTTTTTATTACTGAAAATAATAGACATGGAAGATTCATTAAGAAAATACTATAAAACTACAGACAATAAATAAAGTGTGGCTTTTTTAAATACATGATACAGAATAGCAAGGTCACAGTTCACCTGTGAGCTATAGTCTAGAAAAGTTGTAAAATTAAGGCATCCTCATAACACTGACAAAATGCACACATGCACTCTGCTGTTGGGTTTGTACCACCTTGGCTGTCTCCTTATTCATGATCAGTCTCACAAGCAGGAATTACACAAAAAAATCCCAAGTGTTCACACTGCATAAAGACTGTGAATATTCCTTTGTTCTATCTGCTGTAGTTACTTTATATTAGTGTAGAACCAGTAACTATATTGTGAATTAGGCTCAATATTTACTGTTTCTGCCAGCTGTAAATAAAATCTAAATCTCAAAATCCACTGATACCAATATTCATAGACCCAGAAATCCATAATTGTGTCTTTCATTGCACAATGTTTGTCTTTCTCCTTTTGCTTGAGTTCCAAGATGCAAGCCAGGAACTGTAGGGCTTTATTACTGATTTTTAACGTGAAGAGGTCTTCAGCTTGAATTGATGTGAAGCAGGATGTGATTACTGTGCTGAGCTGCTAAAGGTTGGTTATCAAGCATATGAAATGAGCTAATGTTTAATACCAAATTATTAAAATCAACACAAATCTTACTTCTATGGCATGAAGCAAACATTTTAAAGCAGTCCTAGCAGAAGTAATGGTAAAAAGTTTTTATATCCTTATAGTTACGTACATTTTAGGCTAACGTTAATTAGCATTAGCCTAATGCTAATTTAAACTAATGCTGCAGCTTTCTAAAAGATACATACATCATTTACTCTACGATATATGTAAATATGTAGCAGTAGCTCTATTCACAAGCTGTGCAGATTGGACTGAATGTCAGAAATCTACATTTTTCATAGCTCCTGGACAAAAATCAACGTCATCTGTCTTATATAAATGTTTAGTTATATGATAAACTATGGCTGAAGCAGGCACATAAAGATTGATATTTGTATTTAATTATTTTTGGACCGACACATTTTGTTCCACTTGAGCAGTGCTGCAATAAAGCGCAAAGAAATTACAGATGAATGCACATTATGGAAATGAAAAGAAACAGATTTTAGGATTTATCTGACCAAAAAATATAATAAATTGTTTAAAGATGCACTAGATTACATTGACATCAAAACCTGTGGCATTTCATTACTTTTGCTGACAATAACTATCAAAGTTAAGGAGTTTTACCTGCACTACTAAGAAATTAGTAGCAAACTTAATTTGGACTCTGTCCTGCACAGGAACTGTTTCCAGATACTAAGCTCATAAGCTGTAGAGAGTGATCCCGAGTGAAAGACCTTCCAGAATGAGAAAAAAGAGCTTGCATCTTCATCTATGAAAAGAACTTTATATTTGAAGTTGGTAAATATTTTAAGATTCCCTTAAAAAAAAAAAAAAAAAAGAAAAAAAATAGAAAACGTTTTTTAAGTGATGACATTTTTAAACTCCCTCAGTTTTCAAAGAAAAGAAAAGAAATCTAGTCTTGGACCAGCTACCAAGAAAATCCTATGTACCCAGACCGAAGCCCTGCCTTGAAAAGCCAAAATCCCTTTCAGATATATCTATGGTCAAAGAGGATCATAATGGAGGTCAGTAATCTTTCTAGCCACTGCAGCTAAATCCTTCAGGTATCCAGAGTTTTAAAGGGCTGGGATTCACATCCCTGTAGGAGCTGAGCTGCTGTGGCAGGCTGTGCTGCAGTGGCAGAGCAGAGGCCCTGTCCACATAGCTGCTTTTGTTGATGCTGCTTTAGGGCGATGGGTGGTAGTATAGCCTAAAGGTGGTAGTACAGCTGATCAGCTCCAGCTGATCTCGGAGATTAGGGGAGTTGTCTTCACCTTTTGCTTGGGGTTATCTACTCGCAAACTCTTTCAATGCTGGTCATTTTTATGATTTTGCAAAACAGTGTAAGTAGTATGCAAATGGTACATGATGATCACAGCTTTGAAAGTGCTAAGTAACAAGCAAAGCAAAAAAAACGGGAACAGAAGGTATTGCTCCTGGGCAGTACAAAACAACGCTGGGGAGACAGAATGCAGTCACCTGGAGATACAGAATGTGAAAAAGAGAAATTGAAATAATGCCTTCGGAATTATAGCAGGCAAAAGGATATGGTAGGAAAACCGAAATATCCACTGTCTAAAATCCACCTAGAAGACTCAAAATGACATTTAATTTTTGTCAACTTTAATATTGGCTGTACATTATTTGATGGACTATTAAAGTAATAAAAAAAGACATTAAAATTGCATAAGGAGTCATAAAATACGATGTTTTCAGTCCAATGTGCTATCTATAAAGGATCTTGAATAGTCTTTAAAAAAAGTATTTTGAAAATACAGGTAACTAACTGTGCTGACATAAGTAAGAAAAGGAACTGAATGTTAGCAAGGATTTCCTTAGAGGGTTCTGAGTGAAAAGACAAAGGAATGAAATTCACAAGGGGAAAAAAGCACTCGCTGAGGGAAGAAGGATAAGTATCCAATTTGATTTATCATCTCCCGTGGTTCAGAAGCTGTAGTTTTCTTGAGAATAGTTTAATGCCTACATTATTTAAAAATAAATTAATTACCATCTGTTCCTTACAGGTGATACCATCAGGAGTTTCTTTACAAGCAAGAGGTCTAGAAAGCAACCTTAAAGGAAAAGCAAAAGCAGAAATTCCCACAATCCTAAGACTTCAAAAATGAGGGCTGACACTAAATATGACAGGAGTACCTGAAATGTTTTTCTGAATGTGAGTGAATCTAAAAGGTTTGCAGAGAACTGCAGGATGGCAGAAAAGCTGGTTCTGATTGATTCATACAAAAAAAAAGAAAAGAAAAAAAGGAATGGTAAGAACCTTATTCAGGAATGGAAGAGGCAGAAAATAGCATAGCCAGGAGATAAGCCAGGACACATTCTAAGGTGTAAACTTGCAGTGACACAGCATGAACAGATGAGGGCAAGATCCCTGAACTGGGAAGTCTGACTGAAGATCCACAACATACATGACATACACATGATATTGTTATTTATTCACAGTTTAGGACCTTGTTTTTATTTTTTTTTTTTTTTTTTGCTCCAGGGTGCACTATTCCCAAGTACAGTTTTAGGAGGGGCTTTAACTGTGCTTGAACTGTGGACTAGTTCTGGTGCGTGTGTCTGGACTGGGTTGCTGTTATTGCCTCTTGTTACTGCCTCTCCCATGAAAGCAGTAGGACTTGCAGGTAGAGTTAGCCAGACCATTGGACTGTTCTGGCTATAAATCAGTCCTACCAAGCCAAACAGTCCAACCCCAGTGTTGATGACCTGGCACAAGGTTGGGGGGTGACACTTCTCTACTCCCAGCCATCCCCCTGAGAGGGCAAGCAAACCACTTTCCCTGCAGTGTCTCCCCATGTACAGCCTGGGAGATGCCTGCTATGGAATTAACATCTGTTTCCCTCATGTTTCTTTCCTCTACAGGAATTGTTTTGCAATTTGTTTGGAAGCATGGAGGGAAAGAAGAAAAAAAAATAGGCATTGGGAATAGCTTTTTGGTTGTCATTACAGAGATGTCTGTGTGCCTGCTCAGATGCTTGCTTCCAGCGATGTTTTATCAACTCAAATACAGTGGTTCAACTGCAAGTGATAAGCAGTGCCCTTATTCTTGGTGTCAGAGGTTGTTGGGAATTTTTTGGAAGTGCCTGTAGCATCTAAAATCCCGTATATTATTAAGGGGAAAAATACTAAACAATATAATTGAACAAAAATTGTGTTTTCTTTCTGGATTTATTAGCTTGACTTTTCCTGAGTTTAATTGTGTTTCTGTAGTCAAAGGAAGGAAAACACAAAGCCATAATGCCAGAGAAATCTTGCCTAAGGAAGATCAACTATGATGTTGTTAGCTAACAAGGTAGATGAGCAGTGCTGTTGCAAACTCACTGCATGTACCAGTGAGATAAGTCAAGATTCTGACGAGTGAGTTAGATGAAATTATGAGAAGGATACAGAATCAACAATAGAAAGAGGTCAGCAAAAGCAGGATTATATGAGACACCACTGCCCATCTCAAATAGCATTCTGGCTCTCATTAGCTTGCACCATGGAACTGCCTCTTTAAGTGGGTGTAAGATGGGTTCTCTTGGGATTGGATATAGCCAAAGACTTGCTCAGGAGTTTAGCTGACATGCTACAACTGCTCTTGGGTATTCATTCTGTGCTGCTGGCCATGCGCTACATTTAGGTCAAGATGAAACTCAATGAAACATTTAGCTTGAACATCAGGTTTCTCCTTACAAATCTGCCTGAACTACTGTGCTGAACTACTTGGTAGGACAGGCATAGCCCCAGGGTAAACCCCAGCACCCTGCAGGAGTACAAAGACTGAACCAAAGCTGTGTGATGAATGCAGATGTGATGGTGCTGGTGTTTATATCTGACTCGAATGGGTCACTAATATGGATATTGCAGGGATTGTGAAAAGCCTGATGTGTCAGGTAGGAAAGCTGCTGGAGAGGAGATGATGGGGGAGTGACATGGAGGGATAGACATAGACCTTCTAACTGCAGTGAGTTAGTTCAGTTCAGGGCCACAAAGACAATTAAGGGACTGAAACATTTCCTATGAGGAACATCTGAAAGAACTAGGACTGTTCAGCCTGGAGGAGAGAAGTCTCAGGGGCAAACTCATCAGCACGTGTAAATACCTGGGAGGAAAGGAGGGAGTGAGGGGAGAAGGACACTGACACTTCTCAGCAGTGCTTGCTGGTAGGACAAGAGGCAATGTGCACAAAAATAAAATCTCCTTGCCAAAGCATCTTCTCTGTTGCATCCCACGTCCGTATTTTTGAACTATGTTCCCACCAGCTTCTTTTAATATCCTCTAATTCTCTTATTGGAGGGCACAATCAACAGTTATGAGCCATCTCTGTTGCTCATCCTCTTCTAGTAATATCTGTAATTTCCTTTCCATGATCTCTTCCCTTGGCTGAAGAATTGTAGAATGGCCTGGGTTTGAAGTGACTGAAGTTTTGAAGCCCTGTCGTTTTGTGTATGAAGCTTCTATGACCTTGTTGCCTTTCTCTGATCCTTTACCACTTCTGCTATATTCTATTTGAGGTCAGAAAACTAGGACTACCCACATAATTTAATGCACAAGCAAATCAGAGGTTTAAATAGTACCACAGTCTGCCTTCTTCTTGTCTCTTTTCTAATTATTCCCCAATATCGGATCTTCTTTCTTGTCTTCTTCTGAATATTTAAACTGCTGATTTCCAGGACCTACCAAAACTGTGTGATCTCATTCATGAGTAACTGCTCAAATTTAATTTCTGACTCATAAAGTGGTTCATATACAGGGATATTTTAATGTAATGGCTA